ATTTTTTTAATTTATTTATTTATTTTCCTTTCTTCAGGCAATGTAGTTTGACTGGAATATTAGAGGGATAAAACAAAAACATCTTTTTCCTTCTGTTTTCTTTTTGTCTCATTCATGTAACCACTAAATAAAATGCTGGCAGCCGAAATATCTTAATGTTATTCCTCGAGGTGCAGCACAGTGTACCTCATTGAGACAATATATTCAATCTCTTCTTTGCATCATCTGTGAAACCTTTATCATTAAAATAAACACAGCAATTCCTCTTAAACTTCAGTGAAGAAAGAAGCTATAGAAAGAATGTAGAAAGAGGATTTTATTTGCAATTCCATAGCTTTAAAAATGCACTAAATACATTACTGTGATACTTATTTATGAAGTAAGATACTACACAGGTATGATACAATGTGATTTATTTTGCAGAGGAAACATTCCCATTCGAGGCCACCTGACACTTCATCTGAAATAATGTTACTAGTGAAATTCAGGAGTCTGAAGAACTGAATGTTTTTACTTTTTTTTGTTGTTACTGCTGTTTTTTGTGTTTTTGTTTTGTTTTGTTTTGTTTGTTTGTTTGTTTTCCTAATTTAAGTTTGTTAAAATTCTGGAATTTTTTTTTTTTTTCCAGAAGAGAGTTTTGGGAGAGTTTTGTTGTCACTTGTTTGCCTTTTATTTTCAGATTTCAGAACATACTGACAGTAAAAATAATTATATAACTATGTTATAGAAGGTGTTTTTCTTGTCTGTTGAAAGACCTATTTACAGTGTTGTTCAATGGTAACGTTAAAACTGGCCTACACTTGAACCAAACAACGGCGTTATACAGTTAAATTGTAATAAAATTAATACAAATTAAATAAAATAATTATTAATTATTAAAGTAAAATAAATATTATTTACATAAAAAAATATCTTAGAATTATCTACCTTTAAAACACTCCCCCAGAAAAGCAGCATTATTTTGTACTTCTTTTCATGCTGCTTGTGGATTTCTATTTTAACTCATATGTGAAAAAAAGAAACATCTTTCATCTCATTTTCTTTCTTTACAGAGAGTGGATTATGAGAGCAAGAGGAAACATAGTGTTAGAGTAAAAGCTGTAAACAGGTACATTGATGACCGTTTCCTGAAAGAAGGACCATTTGAAGACATAACTATTGTACAAGTCAGTGTGGTAGATGCTGATGAACCTCCAGTTTTCACTTTGGAGAGCTATGTGATGGAGATTGCTGAAGGAGCTGTAAGTGGCTCATTGGTAGGAATTGCATCTGCAAGAGATCTGGACAATGATGACAGCCCAGTCAGGTACCTAATTCAAAATCTAAACATGACTCAAATATAATCATAATATTTCCAAAGGCTACCAAGGTGATTTGTGTTCCTTATTTTGGTTCATGTTTACAGTTCATTGTGTTTTCATTGTGATAACCAGGATTATTCTAGGTTAAATCTTGACCCCTACCCAAAATAAAAATAAAATAGCTTCATGCATTTTAAGAGTATTTTGAGATAGGGCAATAGATTAAATACTGTCCTGGAAGAGGGCATGCATTACAGAAGAGCCAGGGTACCTCAACCAAACCTGTAAGTGCATGGAGGTGTTCCAGTCTATTTTCCAAAATTCTGGAGATATGTAGATATGGTTTCATTGCTGGGAGGAAGACGCAGAACAACTCCACTGGCATCTTCTCACCTCAACATGATCAAAATTTACCAATTCCCTACATCAGCTACTATAACCACAAAGAGATATTATATAAAAAGAATCCTCCAGGCTTTTAATTTTACAGATTATGCTGTTTCTTAAGGGAGAAAACAGGTAATTAATCTTTAAAATTGGGTTTATAATTAAAAATTGCTTATTGAGTTACTTGACATTACTGTACTCAGTAGTTTAAAGAAGTTAGCATTAAGGGGCAAATTAATGACATACAAAATAATTTATGGCATGTAGATTAACTTATTAGGTTCTCAATGGCAAAACCAAATACACGTATTCAGAAGAATCGTCAATGCAAAGCTATTTGCTATGTTTTCATATTAATTTACTGCTACTTTTTAAACAAGCTACATTAAATTAGAATAATAAAAAAGTACTTTTCTTCAAAGAAATGAGACATGGTTCATTTAGATGATATTGCCTGATATTGCAGAATCTCCAGTAACATGTAAACAGAGTGCAACTTTTGAATCTGAAATAGTTTGATGAAACTCACTATGAAGTGGATGTGTCTGAGTAGCCCTAGTACAGCAAAACATGCATTGCATATCTGAATTACTTTAAAATACAGCACCTAACATATAGCCGTTAATCTAATTTTGAAACTATTGTTATTATAAGTAATGACAGGTACTTAAAATATAGGAAACTGGCTGCGTTGTATCAGGACCCTAGTTTTTAAATAAAGAAAGCAAAGGTATGCAACAAAAAAATGCAGTAATAAAAGAAGTACATCAATTATTAAAAAAATAACTAAAATCCCTCCAACATTGATTTTCTAACAATTATCAGTGATTAATCAGATTAATAACAACAACAAAACAAAACAAAAAACATCCAAGAGAAACTGTATCAGAAAACCTCCAGCAAGCTTTGGATGCAGAGGATGAGGAATATACTTATAAATTATATATATATATATATATATATATATATAATTATATATATAATTTAAATAATATTGAATTGTGAGCTGCTAAAGCAGAAGTTTCTAAAAGGTAAGCCTTTGGCTTAAATGAAAAATACTATAATTGGTTTCGTTATGAGATTTCTTAATTTATTCTCTTAGTGATTTTCCAAACATGCTAAAAAATAACTATTAAAATGTTAGAGACTCATCAGAATGCAGACACATAGTCTGAGCTAGAGTCTTAAGTTCCAGTAAGAGATAAAAGGGGAGATTTAGATTGAGTATAAGGAAGATATTTTTACAGTAAGGATGGTGAAGCACTGGCACATGTTGCCCGGTGAGGTGGTAGAAACACTCTTCCTGGAGATTTTCAATGTTAGGCTGGATGGGGCTCTGAAAAGCCTTATCTAGCTGTTAGTGTTTCTGTCCATTGCTGGGGAGTTGGTCTAGATCTTACAGGATCCCTTCCAATTCAAACAAGTATAAGATTCTATGATAAAAAAGATTTTATCAAGCAAAATTAGAAATGCAAAAAAAGAGGGAACAATTAAACTTGTGAATTCCAAACTGGAATGATAAGAACTTTCAATCCTTCAATCAGATTTTTCTTCTCTGAAATTGGCTGCTTGGAGTTGTGACACATAGTCCTTCTTTAATGTCATGAATAATATCTGCAAATATTCTTTCCATCTGAACCAATACTTTTGGTATCTTTTTTCAGTCCATCTCTGGCTTGTGACCAGACTTTAACAATTTGAATGGTATGTATGTGTGCATGCGCATGTCTGCATATGGAAGTAGCCTGCAGAGCATTTTAAGTGACAACTCAGGAGCAGTGGACTGATTTGCATTCATCTTCTACTTTAGGGTTTTGTACCCTGCCCAGGTGGCACCTCATTATAGATAGTTGTCTTTCTTTATAATGCCCATTGCCTCAGCATCAGAGCATGTCAACAATGATAAAATAGATTTACCATTATACATCCACTTAACTGTTAGTGTTATTCATTTCACAAGTGGCACTTTCGCTGTTTCTTTTCAGCAAAGTCATTCTCCTGCTGTGAGCCTGAAGAATGAATAATACAATTCAGGTTCAGTTCATATTAATATAGATCTGAGATATATTTAGTTTTATAAAAAGAAGAGCTTTGATCTTGACAGCAGTAAATTTTGAATGTTTATAAGTGTACATTTTTCATTATTTCTGAGTTCTTGCTGCACACATTTATATGTATATATGCACGGTTCTGTTTTCTCATCTGACAGTAGCTTTATATGTCCCTGTTTCTGATAGGGATTTTCAGTATCAGGGAATCTCTCCCTTTTTTTTTTTTTTTTAATTTTAATGCAGGTATTCTATTGTCCAAGGCATGCATTTAAAGAGATTGTTCAGCATCAATGAACACAATGGAACAATCATTACAACTGAACCTCTGGACCGAGAGAAAACTTCTTGGCACAACATAACTGTTACAGCCACAGAAACTAGTGAGTAAGAATTTTAAGGAACACTGTGTTTTGTGTACTGCAAACTGTAATTATCCTCAGAATATGCCTTCTTTTAAATGAAGAACATATGCTTCCTTTTCTTTATATTACTATTGCTTGCTATATGAAGGAGCATTATTAAAATGATTAGTTACATAGAAGCAGAATATATTTGAGCTCTAAGGTCCTCTTCTCTTTCATAAAGGATGACCTTATTATACACACACACATATATATATGTATATAAAGAAATTGTAATAAGATTGAAACTGTAATGCTTTCAAGTTAGACTGAAGCATATGAATTGCTCCTATAGTGAAAGTACTTATGTTAAATTAGACCCTGGTTAATTTCACACCAGATTTTTGACTAGTATAAAATTAGCCAGGGTCTAATTTAACACCAGTCAGAAACTTGTGGCTCAAATTAATTCTGAATGTAAGGCTTAAATCAGCTAGACTTTGCCAATTTAATCTCTGAAACATCCTTTATATAGGGTTCACCTGTCAGTTTGTTTGAAAGTCAAATGCAAATTGCCTGTATTTGCACTTCTGGTTATCTGCTTGCCCTAACTCTGAGACAATGCCCCAGAAAATTAACAACTAACTATTGACTTACAAAGTGATTTAACAGGATTATTGGGATAGTATTTAATAACTTCACATTCTTCTTAAGGAGAAGAAACATACAAAACTGGAGGCTAATCAATAGATTAGACAGATTTTCTAAATACTCTTAGCATGCTTTTTTATTCCTGAATCTCAGTAAAAAAATATTTATTGGTAAATCTGCTTTAAACATATATTCATTGGTTGCACTTTTCCCAGAAGGAAGCATCCACTGTATCTGTGTCAGAATAGTACCGCTAGAAGTTCAATGCAGCAGAGCTGGCAGCAATTTTCACTGAAGTCTTTATTTTGTATTTGGGAATTTATGGTATTATCTTCCTTTTCAGCTTCTCTGGGATTTTTAAAACATAAATATATCTTACTTTTCATGTAGCTGGGCAGCTAGCAGGTGATGATAAAACTGATCTCTGGCATATTTTTTATCGTATCTTGAATAGCACTATAGAAACACAGCAGGATGACTTTGGTCTGGATTTTTCTGTTTAGCTAAACAATAAAAAAGAAAAGAATCAAATGGTAGAAACGAATGTCTCTTCAGCAGCAGGAGAAAGTGGATCTTTCATAGCAACAAAAGTTATTGTAAAGAAACTGAGCCCTCATTATTTTCATATACTTATTCTTTATTTCTTTAATGATGGTAAGATCACTATCTATAAAACTACATTCAAAAGCATTGAAGTTAGGTCACCTTGGTATGGTCATACCTGAAATGATTTATATTACGAACTAGTAGCATTTTATTCCTTGAATATAGTCATAAAATATGCTGTGTGCATGAGACATTTTGTGGATGACATTGTATCTCCACTGAAGCCAAATCAAAATGACATTAGACTTCATCCATACTACATATTAATTGCAGTTGAGATACATTTCATAACTTTGTTACGGAAGTAGCATCTCTGTAGGCCTATTGATGTCCCGGCATTTGTACAGGACTCAAACCTTCTGCCTCTATTGTGATAACAAGGATCAGAGATTAGAGACCTGTCTTCTATTGCAAGATTTGTGTCTTCATCATCCTATTCTCATCCTGTTGGGATAAATTATTTTAAAGGTACCCAGAAGCAGACCTTATTTACTGGACCTTAAACTTAAGCAGTGGGAATCTGCAATGTGTAGAGTCTTGTTCTACTTTATGCTATAAAGATGGTTCCAGATCAAGAGAAATCAAGTAAAATTTGATCAGGTGTTCTTGTTTTTTACTCAGCTTCCACTGAGTAAAAGGGCAAAGCATAAATAGAAGCATTCTAGCCATGCATGAGAGCAAAAAATCCTTAAGCAATCAGATTTACTTGGCAATGATTCAATAAGTTATATGATAATTGAGAAACTTTTTATTATTATTATTTGGAAGAGTGATATCTGTCACAACTTCTCAGTCAAACTGGGGTGAATGACAAAAGTTTAGGGGTGAATGACGAAAGTTCTCGGTGATAGCAATTGCCTTGAGCTTACTTTGATCTTCATTTATCTATATGTCTGTGCTAAAATTAATACTAGATTTATCTACACTCACCCTAAAGAGACAAATCATTTGTCTAAAGAGTTCTGCAAATATTCAATTACAGTGCATTTCAAAACTACTGCATGACTGCAGAATGTGCAGCTCTTTGAAGGTTTCAGTCTTGGAGCATATAATTAATTTTCACTTTGAACACATATAATTTTGTTGATAGACTTCTTACATTTTAAATTTGTTTCTTTTTTTGTTTTGTTATGTTTTTATTTTTTCTTTTTTATAGTTTCTTTTAAATATTTTGTATATTTTATATATTATGTATATATTATAAAGTAGCAGCTAAAGAAACCTGCTTCAGCATTATTATTATTTTTTAATTCAAGTTTCCTTTTACTGGCTGGTACTAATTCCAAACTTTTTAATACCCTGCAAGTATTGAGTTCTATTCTGTACCTCTGGACTGCTACTGCTTTTTTTCTCCCCCCCCCCCCGCCCCCCCCCCATAGCTCCAAAATTAATTGGTAAATTATTTTGATTCTTAGTAATTAGACCACCAAACTCATTCTTGACACTGATCCAGCTTATTGCATCTGATATTCTGTTCTCACATTTTATTTTCAAGTTGTGATCTCTCTTGGTGATTATGACAAAGATCTTTAGATTAATGTAGTAATGTAATAAGTCTAATGTATATTAACGGTATTGAGATTCTGACAACTATTTTTCTGTATAAAGAATAAAAGAAAAATCAGTATTGCCTGTTACTGAACTCCTGTGATTTCAGAAGGATTTGAATCACAGAATGGTTTAGGTTGGGAAGGACCTGAAAGATCATGTAGTATCAACTTCCTGCTGTGGACAGAGCTGCCACTCACCAGATCAGACTGCTCCATCCAACCTGTCCAGGGATGGAGCAGGAACTATTAATCAGTTTTCAGTGTAAAAAAGCTAATGATCTGTTAGGAAGTACAAATATTATATTACCTTTAACTTCTAGTGTTTTCCCCACTTCCCATGAAAAACAGACTTCTACTACAGTGTTATTTTCCAATGGCAATGTGGGGAATGATTTTTCTTGCTATTTTACCATACATTGAGGTTAAAATAAAAGTCCAAAACAAAAAAAGACAATCCAAAAATAGTGATGATGTGAAAAAGATGTGTAGGTCAGTTGGTGAAAGAAAACAGATGGGAATGACAGCTACATTCCACATGGTGCTGTGCTTGTTCAAGTATTTGACAGTAGGCATCCAATGTGGAATACATAAATTTTGGGAGCAAGCAAGTTAGGAACTGGGCTAAGTACTTGGGCTCTTTCCATGCCACTTTGTGTACGCATGAAGCCACCAAAGGTACTCCCCAACTCCCAGTAAGAATCATAAAACTTTCCTTTAGGTACCAGTCAAGCCACATCTCTGCCTTATACATGAAATCTTGACCTATGTAAAACAGATTCAGTCCTACAATATCATTACTAAAAGGGTTATGCGTTACTTTTTATATTTATTTCAAAACTAAACCAAGCATTGTTTCATTGCTCTTATATTATCTAGTGATTTCACAGGAGAAATAGCAATGTGAAACTGCTGAGCATCCAGCTGTTTTTCTCTATTTTAGTTGCTTTTGCTGCCACTTTGGCAAAAGACTCAAAAGTTTCAGCACAAATTCCATAAGATCAAAAACAAACAAACAAAAAAAAACCAACAAAAAAAACCAAAAAACATTTTTTGCAAGCAATGAGGTAATTATATATTTAAAAAGCAATGTAAGAACCACCCAAATCCTACAGTTTCAGATAAGGCAGAAAGATTTTCTCTTTAATGCCCATTTGACTATTTTAAGAAAATTCCTTCAGGTCTTCTGAATGAGGCAGAAGCAGTGATACTAACACACATCATGAGGTGCTATAATGAATATTCTTGCAAGTAACATGCTTTTGTTTTAGACAGAACAGTTTGTGATATTGTCAGGTCTTTAGGCTAACAGATATTTAGGGTTCGTGGAATTTTTAAAGATGATTTTATTCACTGGAAAATGTCTTGCATATATGGCCCTTATCCTACAATACAGTTAAGTTAATGTGAATGATACTGTTGCCATGAAAATTCTTGCCTCCTGCAGTAATGCATTACACTGGGGAGAAAATAGACCTTTCTAACAGCTAAGTGATGATTAGTGCTATCTAAGTGAGGATTGAATCTGCTGATAGATGATAGACTCCTCCAAGAGTATTCAGTATGTGCAGATCTTTTTTTCTGTTAATTTCAGGTGTGTCCTAATTTCAGCAGGAATAGAGTCAATTTTCTTCATAGTAGCTGGCATAGTGCTGTCTTGGATCTAGATTGAAAATAATGTTGATAATACATCAATATATTTCTCCATCTCCCTGCCACTGAAAAGTCTGAGGGCCTGCCAGGGAGGGAGCAGAACCATGACAGATGACCCAAACTGACCAAAACATTATTCTATACCATGTGATATCATACTAAACAATAAAACTCGGGGGGATTTAGTCAAGGTTGGATATCATTTCTCAGGAGCGGGCTTTGCTACCATTTCCAAAACTGAGAGGAGCTGGATTAATCACACTCTTTGTGACTCATGCTCGATTTGGTGTTCACCAGTGCCCCCAAGTCTTTTTTTGCAGAGCTGCTTTGGAGTTGAGTAGCACTTGTATACTGGTGCCTGGGGTTGTTATTCTCCAGGTACTGAACTCTGCACTTCTCCTTGTTGAACTTCATGCAGTTTTTTGTCGTCACAACTCTACAGCCTGTCAGGTTCCCTCTAGATGGCTGCATGGCACTCTGGTAAGTAATTTCCTCCTGTTTCAGGTCACATGCAAAATATGCTAAGAATGCACTCTATCATGTTATTGAGACAATTAACGAAGATGTTAACTGGGACAGAACCTCTGTTTGTTCCAGGCCTCCAACGAGACTTTGTGCCACTGACCACAACCATCTGCGTCTGGTTGTTCAGCTAGTTTTTGATCCACATCACTGTCTGCTCATCCGGCTTGTACAAGTGTAGCCTTACAACCGCAGCTGCCAGCTCCCTCAGCTCTCCTGGGTGCATGCCACCAGCGATCATGGAGTTGTGTATATCCAATTTCTTCAAGTATTCCTCAGCTTAATCTTCTACCAAGGACATGTCTTCCTAGCTCCAGCCATTCAGCCAGGCTGCTGAGATCTGGGATTCCTAAAGAAGTCTTGCTGTAAAGACTGAGCCAAATAGGGCATTCAGTACCTCAGTCTTTTCATTGTCCTGCATAACCGTATCTTCTCTTTTCTTAAGAGAGCACTCACATTTTCTCCTAGTCTCTCTTTTGTTATTGAGGTATTTGTAGAAGTCTTTATTGTTGCCTTTTTCCTGGAAAGATTCAATTCTGTCTAGGTTTTGGTTTTCCTAATTTAATTACCAGCTACTCAGAAAACATCTCTGTATTTATTCCAGGTTACTTGTCCTTTTTTCTACCCTATGAATGTTCCTTTTTTTTTGTTTAAATTTGATCACGATCTCTTTGTTCTTTCACGCAGGTCTACTGGACCTACTTTCACCTGACTTCCTCTTTATTAAGATGCATCACTCCTGAGCTTGGAGAAAGTGATCTTTGAATATTAACCTGCTTTCTTGAGCCTCTCTTCCATCTAGGGCTTTGTCCTGAAGTACTCTACCAAGCATATCTTTGAAAAAGCCATTGTCTGTTCTCCCAAATTCCAGGGCTGTGAACTTGCACTCTCCTCACTGCCTTAAGGATCTTGGCCATTTCGTGGTCACTGAAATCAAGGTTGCCTTTTACTTTCACATTCCTAGCAAGCCCTTCTTTGTTGGTGAGAATAAGGTCCAGTACAATATCTCTCCTCATTGGTTCCTCAGCCACTTGGAGAAGGAAACTACCATCAATGCACTGCAGAAACCTCAATTGCATATGCTCTGCTGTATTGTTTCTCCAGCAGGTATAGGTGTGGTTAAATTTCCCTGTGATCACCAGGGCTTGTGAATGTGAGACCTATCCATCTGTACAGGGCCTCATCCACTTATCCTTCCTGATCAGGTGGCCTGTACCAGACCTCCACTACAATGTCACCTGTCCTTTCTCTCCATTTAATCACAACTCACAAGCTCTGTCAGGTCCTTATCCCTCCTGATACTGATCTCCATGCACTCCCGCTGGTCATTGACATAAAGGGTGGCACACCTTATTTGACTCTTCAGCTGTTCTTTGTAAAGGTTGAGTATGACCAGTTGTGTAATCAATGAATATACAGATGTTATAACTAAGAAACATACAAGAAAGTTAGGCTAAACAGGTTATGAGTCTTCTGTAATGGTTCCATCCCTTCTCAGCTCCTCTGGCTCTATCACTAGCAAGGAAGTATGAGAATCAGGAAAATCCCTGACTTAGTGTATGTATTGTTCTGCAACAACTAAAACATTAGTGTGTTATCAATATTTTCTTCCTAAATCCAAGACACAGCGCCATACCAGCTAAATAAAATTAACTCTAGCCCAGCTGAAACCAGAGTTAGGTGACTCTTATGAACATTTGTATTGCATAGTTTGTTTAGACCTAATACACACACAGTTTTATAGAGTGTGGTTTTTCCTCATCTAAGATAGTTACAGTAATGTAACTTTGTATAAATGCAGTAATTGCAGGAATAGAAGTGCCTTATACAGACAAATTTTAATTTCCTTTTCATAGGGGAGGAAGATATATAGTTTTTTCTTATCTAAAGCTGCAGTAGCAAAGTCACCCATGTAACAGAGGCAGTACAGTTTTCACAAGTACCAAATGCCTGAGAATTAAATCTGTTGTGCAAATAATACTCAGAACAAAATTGTAATCTCAGTCTATTAAGTCTACCAGTGAGTAGGTAAACTCTGACTTCTTTACAAGTATATGCTTCGAAGTCAAATTTCTTGCTTTACTATTTACTAGGTAAATAGTATCCTATTTACTAGGATTAAGTATCAGTGTCCACTGGAAGTAATATATATGGCTGACAGTGGCAGAAATATTTTGCAAGTATTTAAGTTTTTGGTATGGTTTTCACTAAAAAGGTAAAAATCTTAAAATACCATGACAGGAGTGTAGTATGGTAAAAGATCATCATGTAAGTAACGGTAGCAAGAAAATGTAATTCATTTTCTTAAAAGCTTGTGACCAGTCACTACAACATCCTTTATTAGTACATCAAGCCGTTCTGCATGAACTAATCCTCATCTAATTTCTCCAAATCAGATTTTATTTTTACACTGAATTCCATTTCCAACTCAGTAAATGCAAGAGTGAAAAATCTAAACATTTATGAGAAATATCCTTACATATTTCAATATATATTATTGTATTTTAACATGATGTATTGGATAATTAAGACAAACAAACAACAACAACAAACAAAACCCAACACCTTTTTGTAGATAGAACTCTATTAAAACAAAAAGAAAAATCTCAGCACTTTCTGTTCTGTTTTAGCAATTAAGATTATGTTTTTTGTTCTAGCTTCAAAAGAACATGCTAAATCATTTTACAGGTTAAATTTGAACAAAATAAAATAAAAACAGTTTAGTATGTAATGCGTCTGTAGGTCTCAGTGGCTACTTTCTTCTCCATCAAATGTAATAAAGTTTTCTAATGTTACATTACCTCAAAATATATAGTAGTTAGTACGTAACATTGAATTTCTGCCTTTTTTAATCATTAGGAAATCCTGAAAAAATTTCAGAAGCAAATGTATATATCCAAGTTCTTGATGTAAATGACCATGCACCAGAATTTCCTAAATATTATGAAACATTTGTTTGTGAAAATGCAGTACCAGGTCAGGTAAGTGTGAATGAGTTAGCAGACATTTTTCTCATTATTATGAAAATTTAATTGGAGATATTAATGTTTTCTCTATTATTGACTACTGCAGTATTGCAAGCATAGGATGCATTTTGTCTAATTTCAAAATCAGTTCTGTTGATATGTGTATAATGTGAAATACCAATTTCAGAAGTCTGATATGTATTTTCCCCCCTTAATTGAAACAAAATAATACTGATAATTCTAAAAAGTTTCACAATACATAGAAAACAGTCTTAATTTTTGACAAAAAATCATATGACAAACATATAAAAGTAAACCAATATAGATTTCTTAAATCAACAGTTAATGCTTGAAATTAAATAACTCAGTATCAATTAATAAAACATGGAAACCTATAAAATTTGTATTTGTAATCTATTTCTGCACTTGTCTACAATATAAAAAAGCTCAGATTGTTTATCTTCCAAAGCTTTTATTACTCCACAATTGTTTTTTAATAAATAACATCTGTATATTAGCCCACTAGTGATTTCTCTTAAAAAGCATTTTTTAATTAAAAAGTAAAAAAAATAGTTATGTTTAACATTATAAAGTTTGAATGAAGGATGAAAAAGATCTTCCATTTCAATGTACAAACAAAAAGGTGCTCTAAATTACTTTTTAGGTTTATTACTCCCCTCCCCTTTTTTTTTTCATCAATAACAGTTTGTGAGAGTCTCAGATGGCTTTAGTTTGACATGTGGAGACCATTCAAAGAGCTAGTTAAATTGACTTCTCATTAGCAAATTATTTTAGGAGCAACAACAGAAAGCTGCTACTGATATGCATAATAACCACTTAGAGACTGTTATTATCCTTAATGTTTACAACTTACAACTGAACTGATAGACATATAGGAGACACATCAGCTATTTTTTCTCTTTTGATTTTAATTCTTTTGCACACGTATTAGAATGTTTATTCCTTTTCATCAGCTAGAAGCCTAGAGGTTATAAAGTGATTTTGTAAGTTGCAGTGGTTGTTCTTTGAATAATACAACTTCAGAAGAGTCAGTTTAAGTAAGGGAGGAGCTTAATCAGTACGTCACATGTCTTTGTTTAGGCAAACTTCTGCAATCATCTATAAAGACTCCAGGAATCTGCTTAGAGAGTATGAGCTGAGGTCAAAGCTTGTATTGATATTCTATCTCATTTCAATTTTTAAAGTAGCTTTCTCATTCTTTTTAGCTGGAAAGGATATGCTGAGAGATATTCTGGATACCTCCAGAATTCTAATTTCTCACAGCTGACTTGTGTCTGCTTTCATGAGATACGTTGTAATAGATTTGCATCTCCCAACTTACAAAGCTTTGAGAAGAGGAAAGCACTGAAGAAGGAAAGATAATGTCAAAAGTTAAATTTTATTTTAATGACTTTTTCTTGAGTCTTTCCTGATACACAATAATATATAAAAAAAGATTTTGTTTTTTTTTATGACTGAGAGACAGTCTTCTGAAATTTTACAATAGAAATGAGTGCAAAAAATATAGTATTATTTTGGCAACATCCTAAATCCACTCATCATACTTATCAGATATTTTGAACGTATTTTTCACTATTTGTAATATCTCACAACCCATAAGTCAGTTATATATTGACCACAACATGTTTTTTTCTTTCTTTCATGGAAGGGAAAAAAAACCCAAACCAAACCAAACCAAGAAAACAAACAAACAAACAAACAAAACCACTTTATCTGCCCTACCAGCATTAAATATATTAGTCTCAAAATAACTTGAGCCTGAAAGTAGCTATAAAGAATAGCTTTCCACCCAACTGCAGCTACAACTAGTGTCAAATCAATATTACAGTATAAGTAAGGTATCTAAAAACTGGGATTCTCTTTGAATTTATAGCTTCTTGTAAACTTGGCAGAGGATGACCAGAACCCTTTATTTTCTTCTTCTTAGATATTTGCAATCACGACAAAGAGTTGAATTCTAAAAGCAAGAAACTATAAAAACAATCAGGATGTAAAATGAGCCAAAACTATTCCAGAGACATCACAGTAAAAATCTATTTCCCAGAAAGCTTAATTCTAAAGGCATTAGTTATTTAACTTTTAATTTGTGGGACAAAAATTTGAAGTAAACTATGAGACAACTCGCATCTTGAGTAAGCAAGCTGAGCATCCAAAATAGACCTATATTTTGTGGATGTTGGGTTAGACCCCATAGCAGTTCTGTTATGCAGGAAACAGAACTTAGCTGAAGACAAGCTGCACTGGATACAAACTGAATTAATACTTCTCTAATACATATTAATCCTGGCAATTCTGAGTTCATATTATTTGGAGATCACATATGAAATGACTTCAGTGTTGCAGCTTACTTAGTAATTTTTGTTACTAATTACATATGCAGAGCATTTTAAACTAGAGACAAGAAAAAAAAAGCATTAATTTACTTACTGCTTTACCTTTAATAAATTAGTCATCAGTTAGAGTAAAAATGAAAACTACTCATTTGATACAGAAGGAAATAAAGAAAATCTTTACTTGAGTTCTACGGGTATGTGATTAACGTTGGGGCAATGCCCTCACTGACATCTCTTAGAATGTAAAAACATGATAAATCTGTGTAAGCACAATGTATTCTGATTGGCCTTTAAGCTATAGCCTTTGTACACTGTCACCAGGTGTAATCACTACTCTCATTATTAGCAATAAAATATTTTGAAATTACAGGTTTGAATTAAATTTTGCATATAAGAAGGGAAGAATATTAAGAATGCAAAGTTTCTGGGGGTATACACCACTCTTTACACTGTTTTGTGGATTTCAAACTTAGCTTGCTTTAAAGGAAAACAAACATTGAATTCCTAACTCTTTCATTAAAAGAAATCTTAGTCAGGAAGGAGTCTTCAAAGGCACAGGTGGAAGGCTGTAGTCGCTTCTGCTGACTTACTGTTGTTTTTGCTTTTAAAGTAGTGCTTGTAGCATTTGTGTGATTTCCGGTTTGGGGAAAGTTGAAAGTGCAAGACTATTAGATAGAAATATCTGTAAGGCACGAGATGACTAATAAAACTAAGCTCAAATTAGATATCTTTTTTTTGGCTTTTCATCAGCTAGATTTCCTTATAATCAATGATATCAGTGATTATTTTCACTACTATATGCGGATGGCCAGTTAACTAAATATTTACTGGTAAAAGTAAACAAACAAACAAACAAATAAACCCCACATTTTTATTATTAGCAGAAACATTTAGAATTCATTAAATATAAGGTTTTTACTTATTTACAGAGATAAAATATAATGAACGCTATATGTTATGATTTCATTTGGTCATGACACATTTGTAAATGAAGGCAACTTTATATTCCTGACCAGAAATAGGCCAAGAAAATCCATAATCAGTCTGTTATAATATTCATAATCAACAATTCAGTACATGAATTTGTAAACATCTCCCTTGCTGCTGCTACAATATATCAGATCAATGTGTTTGTGGGCTCAAAGGGATATATTTTGTATAGAGGAATTCATTCAAGTGTGTGATTCTTTTCTACTTCTTTTCATTTATGGAAATCTAATTTGCCCCTTGTCTTTTGATCTGGGAAATCATATTTTCTGAAGATTTTAAAGCCCATCTCTCCCAAACTGATGGAAAAAAGAACACAAAGTAAAATATTTGCAGAATACCAGTCTTGAATTGACTTTTTGGGTATGGGAGCTGGATATTTGTGAACAGATAACGTGTACTTAATATGTATTTGCAAATCTAATTTCTAGCATTAACCATTTAACGTTATATCTGATATGCTCTTTTACAATTTTAAAGGAGCGTTAGACACTTTAATTATTAAACAATTGTGCATATCTCTTTCCAGCTAATTCAGAGCATCAGTGCAGTGGACAAAGATGACTCAGCAGAAAGTCACCAATTTTACTTCTCGTTGGCTCAGGAGGCCACAAACAACTCGCGTTTTACTGTCAAAGATAATCAAGGTAGAGTCATTAAAAACTAATGAAGATGCATGGACATCACCCCCCTCACATTAGCAATTAGAAAATTATTCACTTAAAATGAAAATGTCATTGTAACTAAGCAGCAAAAGATGATTTCATGTCAAGGAAAGTAAAATATCTTAGATGAAAAATATAGTTATTCCTTTCAGTTTATACTCCTAATCTAAGAGACAATTTTAACAAGAAAGTTGGTACATCCCATTACTACTTATCTGTGCAACAAGACTGCCAGGAAGAAATTGCTGTTAGTACAAATCTGTTACTTCACCACATCAGCAAGAAGGGAGGACTCTAGGGAGTCCTCTCTAGGGAGACCTCAATTCAGCCTTCTATTGCTTGAGGGGAGCTTATAAATAGGAGGAAAATTGACTTTTTAAACTGCCTTTAAATAGTGATAGGACAAGGGGGAAGGTGGTCAGGCACTGGGAGAAGCTGCCCAGAGAAGTTGTGAATGCCCCATCCCTGGAGGTCTTGAAGGCCAGGTTTTATGGGGCCCTGGGCAGCCTGATTTAGTGGGTGGTAAGTCAGACCACATCAGGATCTTTAAGGTCCCTTCCAAACTAAGTCATTCTAGGATTCTATGATAAATAGAAATATGATCTGTTTTCCTAAAAGTTTAATCTACATTCCTTCATTACTGATGCCATCACACAAGTGTATCCTAGTGTTCTGGCTAGGTGATTAAATCAATGGAAATAAGCTCTGGAATGTTTAGACCATGTTAAATGGTAAACTGCTTTTCTCATAATCTTCAAAGTTAAATTAAAAGTTTTAATATGCTTTCCATCTTCCATCTTCATTAATGTCTCACTCAGTGCCAGGAGGAGATAACTTTCTAAATAAAGGTCAAATTCTATAAGAAGAATAAGACATTGCCACCTTTTCTCATTCTGCCCAAAATCATAGCAAAGCATTGCACAAGACAGTGCATCCAGTGGCTATTGGTGAGAAAAAAAGTCTTTTCAATCATCATATTTTCAATCCACAATCTTTAGCTTTCTACTGAATTTCACACGAGTAGCTAGGTGATCTGGAAGAGGTCCAGGGAGAAGCAAGAGAAAATCAACAGATCTGGAGCATTTTATCTCCCTAAAATTTGACTTAGAAACATGAAAGAACTTCAGTAGATTGCTTGCATAAATATTTTGTAGAGATAATTGCAAAAACTTGTGCTTTTTTTTTTCTTTCTACACATATGCACATAAGTAGTAATTCTCCCTGCCATTATATAAATATTCACGTCAGATATTTTTTTTTTTACTTTTTTCCATTTTACGCAGATTTAGTTAAGGTTATTTTGTTTTCCAAGCTAAGTTTCAGATTCAAGTTCGTTGATATGCAGCAGAAGCTGAACTTAATCTGCTTATTGGGCTTTATACAGAACTGATTTCTGAATGCTTATAGTTAAATACAAAGAAAGGTGAGAGCCTCTAGCAGCTTTTCCTTCATTTAGATAATAAGAGCTCAGCTAGATCAAGTTTTGAATTAGGGAAAGAAATAAAATATTATATCAGTGGACTTCTTTGCTTTCTGTTCTTTCAGTTTCCACATGCTCTCTCTGTGTGCTGTCAGGCACACTTTTGGAGACCTTTCACAGGTAAATTTCTGTATTTCATCTGCAAACTGCTGGATTATATACACAGCATCATTGTAAGAATCAGCTGATTGGCCAGAGCAGTGGGATGTTTTTTAGCTTTGAACATTAAAAATATAGCTTTAAAAACAAATTTTATTAGTGAAACTGGAAAATATATGACAAAATAAATACATTATTCACAGTTCACACAAGCAAAGGACACGTGTCCATAACTGGACTTACTTTCTTAACATCTATCATATTTAGCATTGTTTTTAAATAGGTTGGATTCCACTGCATTTTTGTTGTTGCAAAATGCGAAATGTATATCATGTACAATTTATCTTCTAGATAACACAGCTGGAATTTTCACAGCAGTAAGTGGCTTCAGTAGACAAGAGCAGTTTTATTTCTTCTTGCCAATCTTAATTCTGGATAATGGATCTCCACCACTTACAAGCACAAATACACTCACTGTCACTGTCTGTGATTGTGATACTGAAGTGAACACCTTATACTGTCGTTATGGAGCTTTCCTGTATTCCATAGGCCTCAGCACAGAAGCTTTAGTTGCTGTTTTGGCTTGCCTACTAATACTCCTGGGTAAGTATGAGTAAGATATATGGTTGTGTTTTCTTCTACAGTAGTTCAGATTATGTGGCAAAAGTGATTCCTAGACTGGGGAAAAAATAGAAATATTGTCTTATTGAGAAAAAAAAAACATAATAATGTAGATCTTTTGTTTCTTTTCTGCTTTCTAAAGCAATGCTATTTTTTCCAGTTTACCGTAAAATTTGATTCCTAACACAATGCTATAAAAGTTGGCTTTAGTTGATCCATGATTCTATTTATTTCTCCAGCACTAACATGAATAAAGATCTGGAAAGACAAAGTCTGTACTGAGCCCAGGTAAAGCTGACACAGTTATGAAAGGAGATGGGTTAGTAAAAGATACCTTTGGTAGAGAAATGCTCATTCTTCCTTAATTATGCCAAATACATAGCTAAGATATGTGTAATTTAATTAAAGAAAATTCTCTCAGAGAAAGCTTGTTTCTCTCTAGAAACAAGCAGGATGTTCCTCTGTCCAGACTGCTCAGCGTAGGAAAGAGGACGCTTAGGGGAAATCTTATCAACATGTTAAAAGTAATTGAAGGAAAGGTGTAAAGAAGATGGAGCCAGGCTCTTTTCAGTGATACACTGTGCCAGGACAAGAGGCAATGGGCACAAACTGGAGCATAGGAGGTTCCCCCTGTACACTGGGGAGAACTTATGCGCTATGCAGGTGTCTGACACTAACAAAAGTTATCCAGAGAGGTTGTTGGGGGGTTGGGGGGTCTCCTTGGAGATTGCCAGAAGCTGCCTGGACATGGCTTTGGGTGGCCCTGCTTGAGAAGGAGTTGGGCCACCTGACCTCCAGAAATAATCTTCCAAACTCAGCTTTTCTGCAATTCTGTAATAACAGCATTTTCAGATAACATTTTATTCAGATGTTGGACGTTTTCCCTCTCAAGAGGCATAAAATTATCCTCTACTACTTCTTGCAAAGTGTGGATGTGAAAAGGAGGCACCTTAAACAAATAGGAGATGTGCTTGTGAAGCCTCAATTATGCATAGTCAACAAATGACACTCACAAAACAGTCTGCACAGTCTAGTCTGGCATTTTCAGCCCTGCAAGACACAGTGTAGTCACAGTACTCAGGGAAACAGCTATTTTTTCCCTGGAAAGCATGCAATTATCTCAACTACATTTTCTCTTTTTCAAAAAAAGGGAATCGGACACAATATCCCTTGAAGTGTTTGATGAGTGACTTGACACTGACATACTATAACAGCAGGCCCATTGTAGAAATTATTCACCAAAGGCTAACTGTCTCTCCCAAATCTATGCCTGAGTTATGCTTAAGATTTTGTAGTTTGAGGCCAGGAAAGAAAGAAAGAAAGGTGATTAAGCTGGGTAGGTTTGTTTTATCAATCAAGCTGATGAGAATAAAGCCGCAGGGAAGGACTTTCAGCTCCAACTTCATCTTCTGTTACTTGTGGAATAATATGGCATATCCATGTTATGCTTTATAATAAAATATCACAGGAAATACCATACCCCAAAATATCACCACATAACTGACAGATCTTAGGGAAACAATTTTTCAACCAATAGTGCAACTCTACAAACAAACAAACCCAACATCAGAAAATGAAGGTGAAAACAGATTTCACTGGTATCAAATCATCATTTTAAATTGTAAAAACTTAGCATAACCCGTTTTTCAGAAACTTCTAAGAAATAGAAAAAAATATAATCATAAACAAAACAAGCAGGTAAACTGCAACAAACTATCTGACAGCTCAAATAGAATGTCTAGAAAAAAGGAATAAGAGCAGAAGTCTCATTGACTTATGAAACAAATTTTCAGAGATAAACGTCTCAATGTATTTGTTAGTGAGAGCAAATACAGTATTAACATTTATAGACTTTCATATCAATGAAAAAAAATATAAAACAATAGTAAATAAACCCGATTTTTCTTTTGTTGTTTGCTTTTCACATGAAAATTCATAAGGATGTAAAGAACATTCTTTTATCTACCCTCATTATACAGTATGACCTCAGCTAATCTAAGATTAACAGCATATAAAGCATGTTATCACTAAGCATAAGAAAACAGGATTGAAAATGATGTCTGGCAACTATTCTGATATAGTATTTTGATTTGTTGTAGTATCAATACAAGAAAATAAGAAGTTCCAGACAGATATTGGAATTATTTTAATGTTAGATTAGGGAAAAATTACATTGAACAAGTGAACATCACCCATATTCTGCATTCTATCCACAAGCTTATGGCCTTCTTTACCTTAGCACAAGGCATAGAATTTAGATCCAATTATTTCCTGTTATTTTACTTTTGATCTTTCAACTGAATCTCTGGATGAGAACTCACTGAAATTTCTCCTAGAATGTACCCATAACATAGTCCTACAGCAGCATGTACTGCACTGCAGCAGCATGCTTATGAGTTATGAATAAGGAGTTTATATGTCTTTGGACTCTTAGGATTATATAACATGCAGGAAAATGGAGAAAACCCACAGTTCTAAAAAAATAAAAAAATAAAAAAAATTACTTCTCTCTCTGAACAATTTGAGTAGATAGGGTGATTAAAACAATGAAAGAGTACTTTGTTATTGTTATATCTAAATGGAAGTAATCTTGCCAGAAATGAGTCAATTCTTGACTCCACAGCAAGGTCCAGAATACAGTAGATCCACCACTTCTCACTCCTGGTTTTCAAAAGAGAAAATGGGAATATATAATAGGGATTGGCTGTTTCTAGACTTCCCTGCACTTCCAGAGTCATCTTGACTGAGCTGAAAATTAGAATGCAGGCTCCCTTGACTGAAGTACTTACCTTTTGGTCTGCGCAAGCTTACAAATGGGCCAAAGTGTATTTCGAGGCTTGTTGCAGGATATCTGAACCTGGTCACTTGCTATGCATTTACAGAGTTGAGGACCACGCAAAGTAGTCACTGCCACTTCTTTATCAAGGCCATCTTGGTCACTTGCAGACAGATCTCTCTCAGAAGAAAACAGTTGCTGTCTACTGGGGCTATGAATATCATAAAAGTTAAAGTAAGAATATAGATTAAAAAAAATTAGACAGAAGTTAATATCCATTAGTTAAGTAATGAATTAAGCCCTCTCATGTATACTTAGGACAATTCAAAATTGAACAATTTGCAACTTACAGATGAGCATTAAATTTTATTCATTTTTTACTTTAGTTGATATTATGATATTTACTGTTGTAACTGTTCACTATGCAAAGGACTTTGAGAACTAGGAGTACTACATAGTTGTTTGTTTTTTAAATATAATTTAATAATTATAATTATATATAATTATAATAACATTATAAAAGTTTTTGTTTCCAGTGCATCCAAGTTTTATGCTAGTATTTCAAGATCTCATGAAACAGTATGAGAGGAAATAAGATGCTTCATATCCCTAAGGGAGGTAAAACCCCGTCATGATTGGCAGTTATATCATGTTATATCCTGAGTCATAACTTACAGTTAGAGCACCTGACATCCATCCTTTAGATATTTATAAGAGTTTATAAGATCTCCTCTTAGTCTTCCTTCTCCAGGCTGAACAGCTCCAAGTCTCACAGCCTTTCCTCATAACGGAGATACTTTCAGGCCCCAAATCAGATCTGTGGCTCTCAGCTGGACTCTCTCCACTAGCTCCCTGTCTTTCTTGTACTGGGGAGCCCAAACATGGACACAGCACTTCAAATGTGGCCTCACTAGGGAGAGGAAGATGGGAATGGATCACCTCCCTGAACCTGCTGGCTATATTCTTTTTAATGCACCCCAAGATATCATTTGCCTTCTTGGCCACAAGGGCACACTGCTGGCTCATGGCCAACCTGTTGTCCACCAGCGACATACAGATCCTTTCTGCAGGGAAACATTAATCTCTCTGAATGTTATAGAATATTTAAACTGAATTGTTCAGCTAAAAATGAAATGGTATAAGATTTTTAAAAAAATCTTTAAAACATATTTAAAAAAAGAAAAAAGATTCTCATATGTTAAAATTGGAGCTGTTCTTATTCATAAGCCTCCACTGCTACAGCATTACACAAAATTTAGTTATAGTCCTCAAATTTCTAAATCAATGTTGTATAAAAAATTGAGCCACACCCTGCATGATCTATGGAACTGAATTATTTTTGGCCAGTTGAGGAGGATATTTAGCTCTTTGCCTCATTTTTCATCTGTTCTTCCTGGGTCTCTAATGTGAAAGAGAGATTAAAAACTTTAAATTTTGAATATAAAATTGATATATTATGTGATAAAACAAAGCAGTTTCAAAAAACATAATCTGTTTCCATCACTGCTTCCAACTCTCATCTACTCAAAGAATTGCTCCATTTCATTCACCCATTTTATAAGTCCCTCTGTAGCAGTTTTTCCACCACATACTATACTCAGTTCAAAACCATAAAATCTGTAACAATCACAGTTCTATAAATTTGATAAGATAGTTTCACTTTGCAATTGCAGTGATATTAAGAAACGTTATTATTTTTAAAGGCTTTCTAGGCACATTCAAAGTCTCTGGCTTTGTTTATATTTTCCCCCGCTTTCTTTTTGTTTTGTTTTGTTTGTTTGTCTTGTCAGTGTTCTTTTCGGCGATTATAGGCATAAGACAGCAGAGGAAGAAGACTCTCTTTCCAGAGAAAGTGGAAGAATTCAGAGAGAATATTGTCAGGTATGATGATGAAGGAGGTGGTGAGGAGGACACAGAAGCTTTTGACATTTCAGCACTGAGGACACGCACTGTCTTGAGAACACACAAACCTCGAAAGAAAATCACCACAGAAATCCACAGTCTCTACAGACAGTCTCTGCAGGTTGGTCCTGATAGTGCTATTTTCAGGCAATTCATTTCAGAAAAGCTTGAAGAAGCCAATACAGACCCTAGTGCTCCTCCATATGACTCACTTCAGACATATGCATTTGAGGGCACTGGCTCTTTAGCAGGATCTCTCAGCTCCTTAGGCTCAAATATGTCAGATGCGGATCAAAATTATGACTACCTTGTAGGCTGGGGACCTCACTTTAAACAGCTTGCAGGCATGTATGCTTCCCAAAGGAGTACTAGAGATTAGTTATTGTTTGATCACTTGTTTTTTTTCCATAAGTTCTCAGCAACCAAAATCAACTCAGTTTTTAAAAAGGAGGTCATACCACATTCAAGCACAAAAATAAAGATCGAAATCTTGGATGTGGTGATTTTCTGAAAAATCATACCTATCATTATTTGAGAGGATGGGCATTCTCCATTTGAAAAAGAAAAAAAAAAAAGAAAAAAAAGAAAAAAAAAAATTAGAGTAAACTAAGATTGTGCTGCTTTGGATATCAAGATCCCCATACTGGGCACAGAAAACCTGGGTCTTGCAAGTACAGAAGAAGGAATATAAGCCATAAATTGTTATTGTAAATATTCTGTCATCCACAAGCTTTAAACTATTTCCAAAGTTGACTTTTGCTCTCACTGTTGAATATATTCATAAAACAAAGTTAAATATTCATATTTGTATAATGCTTCATTATATAAAAACACTTGTGTGACAAAGTAGAATACAATTGTCAGAAGTACTTAATAATCTATTTATTGTTTGTAAGATGATAAAATTAAAATAAATCTTCTTTCCTATAAACGTAAAAATAAATACCTGTTACAACACCAGCATACTAATATCTATAATGGAGCTATTGGGAAATACATAAAACTAATACTTATTTTAGCAAATAAGATAGGAAAAAAAAAAGAAATTAATTCAAGTTAGAATCAATATTCAACATAAATACTGTAGTCCACCATGTTATATTACTGTACTTATAACAAAATATTATCAAAGCATAAGTATTTATCTTTAAGAGTTTAAATATGACTGTTATACCAGCATAGAGCTATTTTTATTTTTTTTTATTATGGAATACAATATTATCAGAAGTAATCAATTTTGGCATAACACTATCATGGATCTTTAAATTTCTAAGCTGATGGTTATAAAACTTTGTGTATAACATTGGATAATAGGATAGAAAAATGTTCTAATGTTGATTCATTTCTTCTGAAAATGATCCTGTATCATTCTATTAGACTCAAATAAAACTTCAAAATTAATCTCCCACTGTGTTTTTTGCAAATAGTCTACAGTCAATACAAAGATATCTCAGACGATTTCTATGCTCTTACATATATAGCTACTCAGCAACAGTTTTGGATCTAAGTGTCATCAAATAATCAAATATAATCAAAACGTTCTGTCTGGAAAAAGGGACCCACTTGTTTTTTATTTATTTCTCTTCCATTAGTTGCTTACTTTACAGATTTTCAATCAATGTTTTCCTTCTTGCTCAGGATGGAAAAGACCTTAAAGATCATTAAGTCCAACAATAATCTAACCATACTACCCTAATTCTAGCAACCCTCTGCTAAATCATGTCCCTGAGCACCACATTCAAATGGTTTTTAAACACATTCAGGGATGGTGACTTAGTCACCTTCCTAGGGAGTCTATTCCAGTGCTTAACAGTCCTTTCTGTAAAGACATTTTTCCTGACGTCCAACCTAAACCTACCGCTGTATTGATGATTCTAATACTTGTGTTCAGCTCTCAAGTTGCAATTTTGAGTGTGTTCTTTTTTATATATATATACATATAATATTGTGCATATTAATTATTTGATCCAAGCAGCAAAGAGAAAGAGAGTGCCCTTATTGTTTGGAGATAGTGAGATCTACGGTTTTAGTATTAGGTTTATAGATTTACACAGATTTTACCCTAAAAAATCCACAGATAGCCACATTGGCCTTACTAGAATTCCTCATACTTTCATGTTGTATTTAGTACAAATAGGATAAAAATGCCTGATCCTTTCTCAATCGAAATAGTTTCTCTGTTTAGATGAGGAAGTAACTTTGAGTACCTAATCATGCTTTGCCTGACATTATGATTTCTTCTGTTGACTGTAATGAACTGTAATGATAGATAATTTTTGTAAACAATGTATACTGTTGTCAAATCCAGAGAGTTCTTTATGAAAGACAACGATGACCTACAATAGCTCTCAAATAATTTTTTTTTACCCATTATCCAAAAAAGTCCTAAAATCACATCTGTACAACAGGGAAACGGTGTTTATCTCTGAAGTAAGAAAATATTCTTAGTTGTTACTGGGCCGCATTTTGTTAGGTTCCTGATATTCTAAGTCAAACCTGTTGATTTCTTTCCACTTGTGAGAAATGAATCATTGGATTGACTATGTAACTTCATATTCCATTTGATAATTTGTACTTAATTTAGCTGAAAAAAAAAAAAAGATCTGCAGAAAAGTTTTATAGAAGTATCTGATTACCTAAGGGAAATGAAAAATTTGAGAGATTCCAACAATTACTAGTATGAAATTAATAAAGGAGAAGTTATAAACTGGAGTATTTGATGAGATCTGGCAAACTGTGTAATGATGTTCTTAAGGGAATCTTCCATTACCTTTTAAAATTCACTAGTAACTAAGATTAGCCATGCTGTGGGCTGAAGAGTGAAAATGTAGTAACAAAAGATAAATATATATTCAGTGTTTTTGACCTGCCCGAGTGACTATAAAGAAGTGTTATCTAAGTGTTATCTGGTCAAAGGAGAAGATCATGTCTTCTGTACAAATACTCTGGAGAAATTTTCTGTGTGTTTGTTTGTTTATTTGTTTTTGTTTTGTTTTGTATTCTGTAACAGGTTAAGAACTGGTGAAATACATGACTAAAGATAATTTTCCTTTTTTTCAGTCCTCATTCAGAAGAATATAATTATGTGTTATTAGTTTTATTATTTAAAGGAAATGAAATCTATGCATACTTTAATAAATAATGTTCAACTCTTTGAAGGTAAGAAAAAAAAATCGCTTGATATCAGATTGCAGTTTAATACTTATTATTGTGACTGTAGAGGGAGGGGTTTGTTTATTGGTTCATCCAAAATAAAATGGCTTCATTTAATTTTCATTTTTTTAAATCAGGATGGAGGGTTTTTTTTAACTATAACATTGAAATCTCTCCTGATTGCTACACAAGACAATCTCAGTCTTTAGTTCTCGTAATTTTTTTTATAGTGTTTTCTCACAGACACTGTCATTACATTTCTTGCTTTGCTTTGAAAATTAACATTGGAATTGTGGTTAACACTCATTCTTAACTTTAGGGGGCAAGGGAGTAGCCCTATCTGATGAGAGTAAAATATTTTTTATAAGAGAGTGTGAATTTTATGTTTGAAGTCAGATATAATATATGCTCTCTTAGGAGCAGAAGTTGGAGATTATGTGATTATACATGTTGGCAAAGGATAAATTTATCCTTGATCCAGAATACAAACAAACATAAAAGAAATTATAAAAGAATGTCAGTAGCTACTTACAATGATTTCTCTACCAGAAATTTATGAAGTAAAATAAAATAGGTAAATATTTTGAAAAAGTTGATGCATTTTGTAACAGTAACTTTACTCTTAAAAAAATATATCTTCATATATGTTTCTAAATCAGCCCTATGTCTCATACAGAGTCTAAAGGACAGTAAGCTACAGATAGGATACAATATATGTAAAGACAGATTACTTAGATAAGTATGAAACACTTTACCCACGGCAGATGGATTGCAACAATGGGCAAAAATATGCATGAGACTCAAGAAATGGCACTGAAAGCAAATATTAACAAATATGGTTGGGAACCAGCACAACTTCACAGATCTCTCCAACAGCAGAGACCGGAACAGGGTATCAATGTCTAATAGTGCCCAGACAGATTAATTGTGATTTAGAATGTGTTTTAATAACATTGAAGTTTACAATTTGATTAGCATTCCATATGTAGGGATTCAAGTAACATTGGTTTATAGAGAAACAATATTTACACACATATACCTGACAAAAAAAAAAAAGAAAAAGATTAAAACATAGAAGTATGTAAATCTATGCACAGATATATGAAGTACCACTTCTGACATTGTTATGAGTAAATTCATTTCTGCCATTATAAATTCCGCAGCAAATTATTGATTTCACAAAGGATATCATAAACAGTTTTGGTAGCCTGTGAGCTGCAGTACTGATTCTGTATGTTAGCCTTACAAATGTCATAGAAAAAACACATATAATGAGGATGCCTGAGATAAAGGCAAGAACTAGATGGTTTTGAAGAATGAAGAATAGAAAATAGATACAAATAGATGGCACAAAATACTTGATCATCTACTTTAGTAATAGCTATTAAAAAATATCAGTTTTATCCCGGGCATTTATCTGGATTAATTAAGCAAGACAAAGGATATCTTAGCTCCTAAACTTACAGTGAACAGCCTAAAAGATGCAAATTAAAAAATATATAAAATATAAAATATATACCAAAGCTGTAATAAAAAATAAAATAGGCAAAAGAAAGTGCAGACCATGAAATTATATTAAGATTGATTATCCAATGTTTCAAGTATTTGACATTTAATTCTTGTCTTTTGTCTGAGTGACCAATTACACTAATATTACCCTGACACAGAAACAGATAACCAAAGTAGCTCTAATATTAGTTATTGTTAAAGAGTTTTCAGAGGATAAATACTCTCTGGCAAAACCAAACATGGTGCCCAATAAAAGATAAGAGTGAAAAAAAAAAAAAAAAAAAAAAAGAGAGAGATAGAAGATACTATCCTTGAACATCTCCTTTTATAGTCTAATTCATTTCTTTTGTTACAAATGACACTATCTACATTACACTCAAATTCAAAATATCATTTCAAGTGGCTTGAGATTTATATTAATCAATGACAATTTTATGTGAATCATTAAGAATTACTGCAACTCCAGCAGTACTTCACTGAACTTCTCAAACCAGCATTTCCTCACAAAAATTTTATCCCATTATCACCATTACTGAATCTAAAAGCACCCTAGTTATCTTCTCAAAGTGTTTGCATTTACTGCATTTAATCTCACCTAACATTAATCATTTAAAAATTGCTGCAAGTTATCCATTGCCCCCCAAAATTACTGCTCATAATCTCTGTCTGAAAGTACCAGACTCATGGTATTGAATAGTTTTGACTATAGCAGAAGACTGAAAAATACTAAGGCTCAAAGTCTTCTTTTCTACCTTGTGTTCCCTTTTTTGCTGTGAACTCAGTATGCCTGTCCTGTCAACAACTCAGAAGTTTGGGGTAAGCTGGACATGCTCCAGAACTGTAAAATTATTGCAGCATCCTTATGGGAACAGCTTACGCATAGTAAATATTATACACTGAAGAACTCCTGTGAGCACATCTCTATCATATCACTAAGGACCCTAATCCATGATAAATCACTCACGAAGCTTTGCCTGCTTTCCACAATCTGATGGTGATATAAGGTTCTTGCCTTGTCTTCTTTCCTTTCTATATGGCTGGGATTATTTTTAGCAACCCAATAAATATTTTTCTTTGACAATACTGCCTGTCAGCCTTAAATGATTAATATTGCTTTATAGTATTCTCCTAAAAGCTAAATATTTCCAAGTCAGCTCCTGGTGGAGATGGCTATTTCACAGTCACATATTTCAGGAAATGCAGAGAATGAGAAAAAAAATCAAGGCCAAAAGAGGTCAAGAGATTCATGTACCTGGTCATCACCTGAGCTGGAAACAAGCAGTAAATTCTGAGATATTCCACTCAGTCCTCTGCCATATTCCCTGGACTCCATGTATTAGGTTATCTTTTGTTGTTGTTTTTTATTTTTTTTATTTTTTTAATTTTTTTATTTTGTTGTTGTTGTTTTGTTTTTCAGCTCTACTTCTGCTTCTTTTTGGTGTATATGAATAATAATTTAAATAAAATGCTCTGAACACTTGAGTTCACTTGTTCTGTTTTTGTAGATGACTTGGAATAGTTTTTTTGTATTTGACCTCTAAGAAACAAGGGGAAATTTAATGCAACTGCTATTTTTTTGTTTATTTAAGCTTTTTTTTTTTTTTTTTTTTTTTCCCCAGAAGTATGTGTAAGTACATGAATAGCTTAAAGACAAAAAAGTTAGGGCATCATTCAGTAAAACAGATCTTGAACATGATAAGTAAGCATTTTCTTGTCCTCTCGATTATGTATAACTTACC